TATATATATATATATATATATTAGATAATAATTTATAATTCTACTTAGAAAATTGTTATTTATTATTTTATTATATAATTCTTAAAGAACATATTTTATTATTAATATAGATGTTAGCTTCTTTAAAGTGAGGAGATAATTAAAATAAATAATCTCAGTTATTAAAAAAAAAAAAACTAATGGTCATATGTTTACATGCATAATATATAAATCATGTATGTATTTATTGAAATATCAACTATTGGTTTACTAATTAATGATGAGATTATTAACTTCACACCAACTCACTTTATGCAAATCATTTTAGTTATTTCCACGTGTTACATGACAACAAATGGTTAAAATTAATCAAATTCAAAACAAAACTATTTACTAGAAAAAATCTTGTAGATCATCGACCAACAGCTATACATCTTTGATTACGAAGGAAAAGAAATTCCAGCTAAGAAGATCACACTTCACTGTCCAACATTTGGTCAACAGCTAAATGGTAGCTTCTGCTTGAAAAGGAACATGGATAAGCATCTCATGCCGAATATATGCTGAGACACAACGTAGGGCTCAATAACCATCGATCGGTGAAAAGGATGGTGCCATATATAAGGATATATATCATCACTTTTACAATAAATCTTATTGCATTTTTAAATAGAAATTAATTGATTAATGTAAAAAAAATACTCCATTTTATAATAAGTGTGTATGAGAGTTTTTTTTTTTAAAATAAGTATTATTTTAATTTTTAAGAAATATTAATTGACTTTTTTTTTATTTATGCTCTAAATATTAGAAGGGTCTTACTCTCAGTGGCCTAAAGAATTAGTTAAGAAATCAAAATAAAAATAAAATTCATAGGAAATTATAATAAAGTTATCAGGAGAATGAACAATACACTTTTTCAATGATTGTTTTTTTACTTTCGATTCCTTAACCAATGTCTTCATTAGTACAGAAAATTATTGTTCTATTATACTGATTTTAGTAAAGAAAATTAATAATATGGTTAATTTCATAAAATTATTCACCTTTTTTCATTTGCTTATTAGTTTTTTTTTTTTTTGTAAGACACAACTTATTATGGAGTATTCTAAAGTAAACAATTCTTGTTTTTTTTAATATATAGTTGTTCATAAAATTGATAAGTCCGTTGAGTGTTGCACATAAATACAACAATGAAACATATAAAAAGCCAAAAATGTATGGTTCATTGCCAGGCTTTCTAAATATACTGATTTATATACATCAACATCACGTATGCATGCACAATAATGTTTAAACGAATATAATCCACCAAACGATGAAGAAAACGAGAAGCCACTTTCACCTTTTCGATGGAAACAACACTCAAATGGATTCGTCAATGAAGACAGCATGGTGAACAGCTTTGGAAGCACCATCTTCACCGGCTTCACAGAGTCGTTTACTCACATTCTCCCTTCTCTTTTAATACGCCCTCAACCCTCCACTCCTTCAGTTTCGGAGCCCTTCTGAACAGGCTCTGCTCTCTGAACATTTTCTCAAACCCTAAACTTCATTCCTCAACCATGACTCAAGCCAATGGCCATCGTGTTGAGACAGTGATTGACATAAAGAAACCCGTGAGTTTCACCGGGGGTCTCACGTTTGAGTGCCTCACGTACACTGTGACAAAGAAGAACAAGGTTGAGGGGAAGTGGTTGAGTGAAGAGGTGGATTTGTTGCATGACATCACTAGTTATGCACCAAAGGGTTGCATCACTGCAGTGATGGGTCCTAGTGGTGCAGGAAAATCCACTCTCTTGGATGGCCTTGCTGGGAGGATTGCAAGTGGGAGCCTCAAAGGGAAGGTGTCCTTGGATGGAGCAACTGTGAGTGCAAGTTTGATCAAAAGAACTTCTGCATATATCATGCAGGATGATAGGCTTTTTCCAATGCTAACTGTCTATGAGACTTTCATGTTTGCTGCTGATTTTCGCCTGGGGCCACTCTCACTTGCTGATAAGAAGCAGAAGGTGGAGAAGCTCATTGATCAGCTTGGCTTAACTGTAAGTGTTTTGTATTTTGCAACCACTCAAGTAGTTCTCCGTGAACTTGAATATGCTACTAGTTAATTGATCGAGTGCTTAATTTTTCTTGACTCAAGAAATATTATTACCAATATTTTTTTTTTTGTTCTATTATACTTTTTTCCCTAATTGTTTGATATCTTTTGAAGATATTTTCTTCATTAGATGTCACGAACCAGGAATTCGAAAACTAGCTTTTTTTTTTCTTCTTCTTTTTTTAACATCAATATTCGAAAGCTGGCTTAATTGTTAGATAAAAATATCGATGACTTTAGGGTTTCTTTTAAATATACCAGTTTAAAAATAAAGTATATATAGTAATAACTCTAGGTCAGTAATTAAGATTATGATGAAATAATACATAAAATTGTCTAACAGTGAAATATTAGAATTGGTCTAATAATAAAAATTTAGAATAATATACGCAAAATCTTAAATGTAACTAATAAGAGATTATTTGGAGTGGCTGGTTGTAGGATATGTATTTGTTTTTTTTTTGAAGGGAGGATATGTATTTCTAGTCTATCTCTTTGGTAGCAATATTGATGTTTTTCTAGATTAACTTGTCCTTTTATATGTAATTTATCTGTAATCTGTGATGTGGAAGGGTAGCATAGAGGCACATGATATGTTATGACAGCATATGCTCCGCATAGGTGGCTTATGAATGTAAGAGTGGGTACCCCTTATACCACATGTATCTTCTATTTCAATGAATTCATTTTTTTTGTAAAAAAAAATCTTAAATTTGAATCCTTTTTTTTTTAATCATTATATTTCTTTTGGATAAAAAAATTATCTAACCATGAATATTTTTATTAATCTTTTATATTTTTTTCTTGACAAAATTGCGTTAGGGTTGAAGCTTATAAAATGCATACCTTGCTCTATAATTCAACTTTTATTATAAGATGATGAAAGTACTAAGGAAAGGAATCAATAATTCGATAAATTAGTACTTATTTTGAGACTAATATTCTATTTGTCTATGATTTTAGAGATAATTTCACTTTATAAAAAAAAGAGTTGAGTTTAACTTAATTTTATAAAAATAATTTATAAGATAAAAATTATTCTTTATTTATATATATTAATTATGGTTACATGTCTAATTAACTTAGATCTTTGACTTATATAATTGAGATTTTTAATTTTGAAAAAATTATTAATAAAATTTGGTCAACATTAATGTAATTTTGAACTATATGTAATAACGAAAAAATTATTACGTAGTTCAAGATCATTAAGTATCTATGATCCTAACTAACTATTACATAATATGTATTTAAGTTTTTTAACTTACAAAGAAATAATAATTATATTTAATTACATGTTATTTAAAGACTCTTTAAAGGTTATATGCATGATCTAATATCACTTAATAATTTCTCGTAATAATGGACCATATATATCCTCTCTTAATCATGTGTAAGCTTTGATATTACACCATAAAAGAACAACTCATCCAAAAAAAAAAAGTTGATTATACACTTATTTAATGCTTCTTGTTACATCACATATATTAATCTTTTAACACGTTGACAATTGTTGTAGTCCTCTCGTAACACGTACATAGGAGACGAAGGCACGAGAGGGGTCTCCGGCGGAGAGCGGCGGCGAGTCTCAATCGGCGTGGACATCATCCACGGACCATCGCTCCTCTTCCTGGACGAGCCAACATCAGGACTAGACTCCAGCAGCGCACACAGCGTGATAGAGAAAGTGCACGACATCGCACGCAGCGGCAGCACCGTCATCCTCACCATCCACCAGCCATCATCCAGAATCCAACTCCTCCTCGACCACCTCATCATCCTCGCACGGGGCCAGCTCATGTTCCAAGGCTCACCCCATGACGTCACTCAACACTTAGCTCGCATGCCACGCAAGATTCCCAAAGGAGAGAACCCCATTGAGCTTCTCATTGATGTCATCCAAGAGTATGATCAATCTGACTTTGGAGTTGAGGCTCTTGCTGAGTTCGCTCGCACGGGGCTTAAGCCCCCTCCTTTGTCCACTCACGGCCACCACGAACACTCGCCGTTGCCTGCACCTTCCTCGCACCGGAGTCACATATTTGAGGGAAAATCTCAGGACTTCTCTCACTCCCCGCAACTCAGTAGAAGGGTCGTTGATGAGTTTGATCACAGTCTCAGGAGTCCGTATAACAACATTTCCACGTCATGGAGCGCTGGTCACAGTGCAGCCTTTCTGAAATTCACACCTTCAAAACTTAAGAATGATCAAAAGCCGCGGAATAACGCAAGGTAATCACAAAACCTAGATGCAATTCTATAATTAATTATCATGAGTTCTTATTAATTGTTCTTGTTATATATGCTTAATGACATGTGTGTGCAGAAATGCTTCACCTATGTACTACACATACTCGAGTGAAATCCTTCAAGCCACTCCAACACCGCATAGCAGTGACTACACAGTGAATGAGAAGGACTACCTGACTCCCTCAAATGGGATACAAGAACACCTTGGTCCAAAGTTTGCAAATTCTTACCTAACAGAGATTTGGACGCTGATGCGGCGGAACTTCATAATCATCAGGCGCACCCCAGAGCTTTTCCTCTCAAGACTCATGGTGCTCACCTTCATGGGCGTCATGATGGCCACCATGTTCCACAACCCTAAAGAAGACTTGCAAGGAATCACAAACCGCCTCAGCTTCTTCATCTTCACAGTGTGCCTCTTTTTCTTCTCTTCCAACGATGCTGTCCCAGCCTTCATCCAAGAAAGGTTCATCTTCATTAGGGAAACTTCTCACAATGCCTATAGGGCTTCCACTTACACCTTTGCAGGCATAATCACTCACATGCCATTTATTCTTCTCCAAGCCACTGCCTATGCACTCATTGTTTGGTTTGCCCTAGAGCTTCGAGGCCCTTTCTTTTACTTTTTGCTAGTTCTCTTCGTTTCTCTTCTGTCCACCAATTCCTTTGTTGTTTTTGTGAGCTCAGTGGTCCCGAACTACATCTTAGGTTATGCTGTGGTTATTGCCTTCACTGCCTTGTTCTTCTTGTTCTGTGGATACTTCTTGAACAGCCATGACATTCCACCTTATTGGCGTTGGATGAACAAAATTTCAACCATGACGTACCCTTATGAGGGGCTATTGATGAACCAGTACCAGACCAATTATACCTTTGGGAAGATAGATGGAGCAAACGTTACCGGTTTTAATATCTTGGATAGTCTTCATATTGGGACTCAAGAGTATAAGAAGAGGACAATCGTGCTTGTAATGTTTGGTTGGGCTGTGCTATATAGGATTTTATTTTACTTGGTTCTTCGTTTTGCATCAAAAAACCAGAGGTCGTAGTAAACTATATATGTCTAAGGTAAAGAGTGTGAGTTAAACCATTTGATTTGTTTTGCACTGGAAACATTGTTTTGTGCTGGAAGAACATGATAAATCTGTTTCTTCATTGTATTTTATTTTGCATCAAGCTTTATGACTTATATATATAATGTAACTTGATGGACTTTTTACTTCGTACAACAAGGTAAATCAAGGGAGCAGAGAAACATTTTTGGCAAATTATGTACAGCTCTAGTAACTGAATTTGTTATTAATTTGCAGAAAATATAGAAAGAGAAGTAATAATCTGGTTCATTCATATATGGGAAAAACAGTGCTGATATGGGTATCAAAACTATTGTGAAGGAAAAATTATTTCATAATTGAGGATCATCACGGTAATTTCTATGTGATATTTAACCAAAAAAAATTAATTTTTGAAGAATATCTATCACGTAAAAATTGTTTAAATTATGTAGTTCTGAATTATGTGAAATCTAATGCGTGTAGTGGTTTCTTTAAATGATTGTGCTAGCTGTAATGTGTTTATAAGTTTATGGATCTGTGAACTTCCTAACTCAATGCTGAAAGTCTTTCTTAAGTTTGTTTTTCAGAGAACAGTGTATTTTAAAGTATAATTTATTTTTGGTCTGATTAGTAAATCTTATTATGTATAGGTATAAAAAGAATTTCAGTTAAAAAAAAAAAGGAATACAAAAAATTTCCGTCATCAAGCCTCAAGTCTGTTATGTAATCAGAGTCATATATACATGGATACAAAATTTAGAATCTTCAATTGAAAGAAGTATTTGGCATCAAATCCATTGAAATGAAAAATAATGTTAACTAATAAGTAGGCAATTCCAATTAGTGAATTTGGCATCAAATCTATTGAGATGGGTGAAAAGCAAATATTACTTGAATTTCATAGATTTGGGATTTCCCGTTGACATATAATACAATAAAAATAATGTTAAGTAGACAATTCAAATTAGATTGACTAATTAGGGGTGAATCGAATGTTTATTATGATTATTATTATTTTGGTTGACGAGTGATTATAATTAGTTGATTACGATATATAATATATTTCGTGATATATCCGTATTTAAGGTCTTCTACTTATCGTGCCAATTGCATGTTCGATGATTTTTTTGTTTATCAAAGATAATATGGAGAGGTCAAGTTTGGCCTTATAATAAAGGTTTTGGCCATATATATTATTAGCAGACAAAGCTTGAAACAAAAATATGCCAGTAAATCCATTGGAAGCATCAAATTCGCTTTGTCGGGTATAGGCAAGCCAACTTGACTTTATCATTATGGAATATTAATATCTTAAAACTTAGCCAAACTGTATAATATATACACAATGAGGAAAACCTTTAGTTATACCGAAAAGGCTAATTTAATGAGTTTTTCTAAGATGATTTATTAATATATATGTCACCATGGATTAGCATTTAAAAATTTAGGCTAATTCAAAGTATAGGAAATTGAATTGAATTGAATTAATGTTTATTACTTTAATTTTTTTACTTGAAATGATATTTTAATGAAATTAAGATCAAGGATTTCAGAACTTTCCCAACAAACTTTTGCTTTGGGAATTTCAATTTAATATCTCTAGTCTTCCATAAACAAACAATACAATTTAAGGGCAGAAAGAGTTTCATCCTCTTTGTCAATGGTAATGAATGGCTGGTGACATCCTTGACACTACAAGAAATGTTACATATAGTGACATACAAAAAGTGTTACTATAGGTATAATATATGCAAGTATATATCTATTTAATATATAGTTACATACAATTTTAGTGTTGATTTTGAACAAGATTTAATAATATATTTTGTGTGTCACTATATTCTATACTCACTTTTTAACAATATACCAACATATATTATATTTATTATGTAGGTAAAAGTAATTTTTAGTAACACATATCGTGTCACTATAGGATGTGTGTCACTATATGACAATTTTCTTGTAATGTGAGCTCACTGGTGATCTCCAAAATCCCAATTATTTAAGATTTATAAATTATATTTCTTTATTAATTATTCTAAATTCTGCATTTTCAGTGTAATATTTCAAGATTTTCTTAAATATATCGATCGAAACGAAGTCTTTTAGCATGAAGAGATTAATTTTTCAAAAAACAAAAAAAGCATGAAGCGTTTAAATACTCTTAAAAATATAGATTATTTATTCAGACACATCCTAAGATTTTTAAGAATATAGATTGAAGGCATTATGTTTTATCGTCCATGCAATTGATTAGTCATTAACCATTTATGGTTTAACATCTTTTCACATTTTGATAAAAGTTTAAAGGAACTAAACCACCATTACCTCTAGAAGACAAATGATTCTAAAGGAGTGTTCAAGCAGTTGTGTTAAGATGATTACAAATTAAAAAATAAAAATAAAAATTGCAAGTAATGTTAAGAATTTAATAAATGGTGCATTAAAACAGTTTTTATATTGTCAATCAGATTATGATAAAGTTTAATTTGTTAAGTTTTACATTACTTTATTAAAAATCATTTAAAGAGTAATTTTTAATTAATTAGTATTATAAAAAAAATTAATACATATTCAAAATCATATTTTTCTATAAAAAAATATTATTACAATTCAAAACTAAAAGTACTTAAAAATAAAGATCAAAAGTGAAAGGTCGTACACCATCAACACCATGTACAAGAGAAATAACTTTCACTCTTTTTATGATATATTAATTAAATAATTGTTTTATAATTATTTATTTTTACCTTATTAGTTGTGGTCACATGGTCTAGTGGTTAGGACATTGGACTCTGAATCCAGTAACCTGACTTCAAATTTTGGTGGGACCTCTTTTATCACCCTTTTTATAATAATTATTTGACTTGATATATATAACAAATATGTAAAATATTTAAATTAAAAAATATATATTTTCAGTGCAAGTATTGATTTATTTTTGTTTTCATATTTTCATATGACAATCATATTTTTAAAATAAATTTTATATTAAAGTCTCAAAAAAAATAAAATAATAGATAACTTTAGTCATCAATAAATTGCAACTTAGAGTAAAACTACCGGTGCATGTTTTTTTTCCTTTCAAAAGATAAGTATATCATAAAAATTTTACTATAGAAAGCATGACAAGATGTTTGGAATATGTTACAAATCTATATACATGTAATTAAATTAAGCTCTCGAAAACACACAAGGCCAATGATGATGTAAAAATTTAGAAAGAACTAGACTCGATTGCATTTATCTTCAACTTTCACAGTGAAAAATAAATAAATAAAACATAATTATCAATTATAAGTAAAATAATGTATTATTAATATCAATTATATAATCTAATTTAAAATATTCAAGTATACAATTTAATAAATTGATTAATAAACCTAACAGTGATTGGGAAATCAAAAAAATGTTTTTTTTTACAACTCAAAAATAGTTTCTTTAAGATGGTAAAGTTTGGATTTCTTTTTATTTAATACTTTTCAATGACTTTATTTGATTATATTTTACATTATTATAAATAAAAATTAATAATTTGAAAAGTCTGTTATATATCTTTAATTATTTAAATGTTAAAGCATAGCACCTTTTTTGAAATTCAAATCTTGAAGTTGTCACTAATTTATATTCTTACCTAAATTAATATGCATATCCAACACGTAGATGAAGTCTCATCGTTTGTGAAAAGCCTAGATAAAATACTAAATTCTAAAACTCTTCTTCTTATCAGGAAGAACCCAACTCTTAAAAAATCATATTCGAAATCCAACTCAGATAAGTATATGAAACAAAAGTGGCTAGCCTAAAGCATCAATATTTTTGGTAGAATAAGGATAATCAGAACTTGGCTAGCCTGGTGTATAGTAGGTTTGACGACGACTGCATCAATATTTTGTAACTTAATTAAAGCATATTAATCTCCAACAAATTGTTGAATCCCTTTAACAGCTTTGAAATTACCGGCAATATATAATACTTTCTGTGCAACCTGTTACTCTGACTAATACTATAAGTAACACTATTATTTTTGGACGCAAAGAAGAAATTTACATATATTTGTATAAACAGAACTTCTTGAAGGCATGCTATAGGATTGACCAAGCAAAACGCTATATGTGAGGCATATCAACATCTATCCTGTCTGTATGTATCCAAAATGCCTTCTAATAATCTTAATTTTTATGCCTCTAGTCTAGGTAGATAAAATTAGAATAATGAGAAAAGGAAATGAGGAATAAGGAAAAATGCATTTACTAAACTGAGTTGTAAATTTTACCTGCCTATAGTTATTTGATTTAGAAAAAGGGGATTAGTTAGTACCAGATGATCAACATGTAATAACTTGTAAATTACAAACTAGTTTTTTAAATCTTAATTATCATTTCCAAATAATTAAATATGCACTTGGTTTCCTCAACGTAATAGCCACTCCAACCTTTACTGCCTGAGGACATTGTTTTCAACAACTTTCTTATCTTTTATATATATTATTTTACAAGATAATTGATGTACCCTGCCCATATATTATACGTAACGTACTAACCTGCTACATTATTCCACTGGAAATAGAGAAGAGGAAGAATAACTTCAACGATCAGTAATATTATTAAGCTACAAAAAGACCTTAAAAACAACCATATCCTCATTCTAATTTACCTTCAGGTATTCTACCACATAACCACCTGACAAATTTAATCACGATAAAATTATGTGCACAGTTTGACCATCTGACTTTTGACTCAGTATGTAGATTTTTCTAATCAATATATCTATCTAACAACCTCTAACACATTTTATTTCTACCTAAATAATTAACGAAAGTTATGTTGATAATTAAGGAATAATGAATAAGCTGAAATATGTAGTCTGTTTTCTATTCCTTTTGGAGTATATTAAGAAGCTATACATGAGATTAGGTATACAATTATATCCATGACCACAAGTTCTGGAAAATTTTGATAGATAGATGTTAATTTAATTTGTTAAGTATTTTTCAGTCTGTTCACGCTGAACAGTTAGGCTAGTACTACAAGGATGTCAAGGGTTTACCTGCTCTTTTGCGGTTTCCTTGAGCCACTTCCTCTTAATACTTGATTTCAATATTTTATCTAAGAAAAATATTATAGAAAATATGAAAAAGGATCAATTGGTGTGTTGATAGTGC